AAAGAGAAGGGAAACAACCATGGATTACAGTAAGGCGCACATTACAGTATTGGTTTATGTTAAAAAATCTGAGGGCTTAAGGTCAAAGCGGGGGGATTTATCAAAACAGGAGCAGACCGAGTCTGGCGCGGTTGGTTACTATGTGCAATCAGCTTCTGTCTTCACTTTGTTCGGTTAAGCTTTGAATATGAAAGATAGAAGCTGATTGGGTGTCATGCAAATCTGCTGCGGATTTTATCTGCTCCACTCGTGATACATTTTCTTCAATGTGTCTTATTATAAGCGGGAAGCATCCCCCATGTTCATCTATAATTCTGTCCAGAAACAATTGTAAAATATTAATGTGCATTAGTACGATTTTTTTCACCCTGAAATGATCATATTCAGTCATAAAAAACTGTAAAGGTGATTATATTCCTATCAAATCAGTTGCGTTAGCCCAGAATTGGTTTCTCTTCTTTTGCCAATCCTTTGGATTTTGTATCCTTTTGAACACCTTGATCTCTCTTCAACTTTATATTATTTGATTCCATTTGATTTTCAGAATAATCCCTTTTAATCGAATACCCTTAATTCAAACCTATGGTGTGATCTTAACCCTAGGGGTGGAAAAATTGCCTCGTAAAAAGACAACCTGGTGGAGGCAGAAGATACTTCATATATCTGGAGAACCCCCGTATGTTGTCAGAGACCTCGGGAGGGAGACACTAGGTATGGACAGTCAGAGTATAAGTTTCTGGATGACTGTCCATCTAAAAGTGTGAATGAACATCCACCGGGGATCAAGCATGGGTGTAGCAGGGTAGGTGGGTATTGAACAGTCATTTTTAAATAGTATTGGTGGTGCTCAGACCTGCAAACGGTGTAACGGTGGTACAATAATGGCCAGAGTTGGAGGTACTCTTCCCTTAAAGTGACACTAAACTCCGGAGTTAAATCTTACAAATACCTTCAGGTTCCTTAACGATCAACAACAATGTATCTTATTTGTGTATCACTCAGCTGTAGATCCTCCAATCATCTCTGACACTGTCCTTCCTTCTGGAGGGGGGGCTACTTTTGTTCACCATGGCCCCTGTGTGTGTTGTAAAGTAGTCACCGTGTAAAAAAAAAATCTAAGGATTTAATGTCACTTTCATTGTTCCCTTTTGTTGGTGGTTCTTGGAAACAAATGTCAACCAATAACAAAAGGTTTGGGAAAGATGGTGCCGCTTTCCATTGTCCTGAAGCCATTGTGACCGCAGCATGGATGGAAAGTGTAGCCATGGCCTCCCTAGACCTGTGCCCATCAGATACTCACTTAGACCCGAGGCTTGTGCATCATGCTTGCCCCAACCCATGAATTTGCCCCAAAATGTTTCAGATTCACTTAAATAAGACTCTAGTAGTATTTTGTTGATGTTAAAATTTTACCAATAGGCTTGTGAACCCAACTTGGTCCTTACTGGTCAATGGAGTCTAAAAGCCTTCATGTTGCTTGAAGCTATGTACATGAAACAAGTGGCCCGAGGCATCCGTCATCCCAATATTGGCCCCCGCATGGAGTGTTACTAGTTACATGTCATAGTCGGCAGGTAGATTGCTGATGGATGACATGGAATCCCAATGAAAGTGGTCTGTGGCTCCAAAATAATGCCTACGAGGGCCCAGTCCCAAGTCCCTCCATCAGCCCTTGTCTAGTCATTGGGGTCCTTTTGGGTTGCCTCAAACCCTTACAGTAAATCAATATTAATATTGTGCTATAAGCAACCAGGTCAATGTTAAATTACGGCATGGCTTCCTGGAGCCCAGGGATAGGGCAGCATGCACAGCCCCTGGCCTAAGACCTGTAGAGCCACCGACAGACCAGTTAAACCCATGGTGTCCATGCCTCTGCACCTCTCCTGTGGTTCTGGGCCTCAATTTTATGAATAAGGTTGCATGGTTGTACCTTCTCTGGATAAAAATGTAGGTGCCCAAAGACAGGGCAGAATATACTACACCAACCTGAGTTTTTAGACCCCTGTCTGTAGATCCACCAATTGTTCAGTGAACCCAGAGGACCAGGCCTGTGCGCCCCTCATTTGGCCCTTCAACAATCAATGGGTTCTAGCTGACCATGCCTTTGCACCCCCTATCTGTCAATAAAGCATGGCCAAGGAGGCCCGTGGCACCTCTCCAGTGGCTCCTCATCAGCCAATGGGCATCAGCCAACTAGGACTGTGCACCCCTCCATTGGCTCCTCATCAGCCAACTAGGCCTGTGCAAAACTCTATTGGCTCCTCATCAGCCAACTAGGCCTGTCCAAATCTCCTTTGGCTCCTCCTCAGCCAATGGGCATCGGCCAACTAGGCTTGTGCAACTCTCCATTGGCCTAGGTAATCAAGGGCCAGTGGAGGGTTGTGCAGTGAATGGGCCGCATCCTTCGTGATAACGTTGGCTGGTTGGATAAGAATGGATTTAGTACCCATGGCCAAGGACAGAGCAGAGGGTACAATCCTGGCCCAGAGCCCCCGACTGACCAATTAATGCATATGATCAAAACTGTGCAACCCCAGCCAATGGGCCCCTGAACAGCCAATGGGCCCCAGTCTTACAATTAATGTTGATTGGGTGGCTACAATTTTTTTTTTCTGGGACCGGTGGCCGAGGACAGCTAAATGGTCCAACCAAAGCCCAATTTTTTTACGCCAGAGCCAACCTGTCCCAATTAATGACTCCAATGAGCTGCCTCATGGGCCCCTCAATGGGCCCTCATTGTGGTTAATGGCTGGGCCCCTGGGCCATTGTCCTCCATGAGGCAGACATTCCAGACACAGAGCCCCTCCCCCCTACCTCCACCCTCACCACATGGCTGCAGCACTGAGCCCTCAGCACCACGTGACCAGCCTCCAGCATGTAGTCCCGGCTTGCGGAGTGATCCGGCCGTGTGGTGAGGCGGTATTCCTCCGAGGCGCCCCCTGGTGGAGACACATCCTCCCGCTCTCCGGTAACGGGGAAGTATCAGGGCCCGGTCTCCGCCGTCCGGGGTGTGTCCAGTCTTCCGTGTCCTCTTCCGAGAGGGAGCGCTGCATTCGGTGTACGGGACCCCGCCGGACAATGAGTCCCCTTTCATGCTAATGAGCCGCTGACGCCACATCCGATCTTTCTCCGCCGCCATATTGGCCAGCAGGAGGGCAGCCAGCGCCGGGTATTGTCTGCCCGACCAGGAGGAGGACCGGGGTGAGTCACCCGCCGACCGACCGGGAGAACAGCGGGGAGACACGTACACCACAACACCGACCTGCTGACTGACCGACACCGGGGACGCACCGATCGGGAGGAGGGCGGGAAGGACCGCATCATCCCCGCACTGACTGACACGCCGGGATCTATCACATCACTGACCGGGGACACCGAGATCCATCATTGACCGGGACAGATCACTTACTGACACACCGGGGACACATCACTGACTGAGCGGGTATGAAGGGTTCTTCTATAGGGGAGCTCTGATTCCTGTCTGTAGGAGGGGC